TTGGAGGTATGGAATCGATTGATTTATTGCCAGTGTTTTGTTTGTTTGTTTGTTTATGTGTTTATTTACTTATATGATGCAGAGGAGGTATGTGCTTCTAGTAAAGAGATGAGGCTTGTGTCTGGTTAAAGGAAATTAATTGATATAGTTATATAAAGCTTATATATTATCTTAGTGATGCTCTCAATGTCTGGAACCATTGGAGAAATACTTTAGTGCAAAATACAAGAAGAAAGAAGATACTTTTAATTTCAATAATTGTTGTTTCTAGCTTTTTTTTTTCTTATATTATTTCGATTATCATTATTTCTAACATATATTATTTTTTTATCTCTCACACATTATCTGCCATCATTAACTCCCTCCCTCTCCCTCTCCCTCTCCCTCTCCTTCTCCTTTTCCTTCTCCCTCTCCCTCTCCCTCTCCCTCTCCCTCTCCTTCTCCCTCTCCCTCTCCCTCTCCCTCTCCCTCTCCCTCTCCTTCTCCCTCTCCCTCTCCCTCTCCCTCTCCCTCTCCCTCTCCCTCTCCTTCTCCCTCTCCCTCTCCCTCTCCCTCTCCCTCTCCCTCTCCCTCTCCTTCTCCCTCTCCCTCTCCCTCTCCCTCTCCCTCTCCCTCTCCCTCTCCCTCTCCTTCTCCCTCTCCCTCTCCCTCTCCCTCTCCCTCTCCCTCTCCCTCCCTCAGGCGCTGACGAGATCCTGCTGGAGATGGTGGGGTCCTGCTCGACACTGATCGCCGAGAGGATTCTGGAGGAGAACAGAACACTGCTCGAGGAGGACGAAGCGGTGGTCCGGCTGCTTCATGGTAAGGGGGGGGGCGGAGGGATGGGTGGGTGGGTGGAGGGATGGGTGGATGGGGGGTGGGTGGACGGGTAGGGGGATGGAGGGGTGGGTGGGTGGGTGGATAGATAGATAGATAGATAGATAGATAGATAGATAGATAGATAGATAGATAGATAGATAGGGTAGGCGGGTGAGTGGGTGGATACATGGATAGATGAATGGATAAATGGATGGACAGATAGATAGATTAACCCCTAATTAATTCCATCTCAGATACGACTACCTTCATCGAACCACTAATCACCCGTAATTAATTCCTCCGCAGGCACAATCATCTTAGACACGATCAACCTGAGCGAAGAGGCGAAGCGGGTGACGCCCAAAGATGTTCGGGTCGTCAAGGAACTCGAGGCGGTTCTCAGCACGCCGCCGGACAGGTAGTTGGGGTTGTGGTTGTTGTGGTTGTAATGGTTGTGGTGGTTGTAGTTGTAATAGTTTTGGTTGTAGTTGTAGTTGTAATAGTTGTGGTTGTAGTTGCAGTGGTTGTAGATCTTGTTGTTGTGGTTGTAGTGGTTGTAATAGTTGTGGTTGTGGTAGATGTAATTCTGGTTGTAGTAGTTGTTTTGGTTGAAGTTGTGGTAGTTGCAGTTGTAGGTCTGGTTATAGTTCTGTTGTAGTTGTAGTTGTGGTTATAGTTGTGGTTGTTCTGGTTATAGTTGAGGTTGTTGAAGTTGTAGATGTGGTTGTATTAGTGCGGTTGTTATGATTGTATTTATAATGGTAGTTATTGTTTTAGTTGTAGTGGTAGTTGTAGTGTTACTTTAGTAGTAGTAGTAGTAGCATAGTTGTAGTGGTAGTAGTAGAGGTAATAGTAGTCGTAGCGGAAGTAGTAGTAATAGTAGTAGTAGTAGTAGTAGTATTTGTTATTGTCACTACGGCAGTTATTGATATTTTTATTGGTACTTATTATTATTGTTATATTTCGTTCTGTTAATTGAAGTCATGAAATAATTCTATTTATCTTTTTATGCGATGTCCTCTTTTGGAATTTTAACTCATACACCGAAATCTGTTCTCTCTATCCCTCCTCTATCATGCCTACTTATCCACTTCTTTTCTTTCTTTTCCTCCCCCTCATTCCCTCCCTCCCATTCTCTCCCTTTCTCCACCTCCTTCCTCCCCATTTTCCTTCTCTCTTCTCTCTGCTTCCTCCCCCTTCTCTATCCTTTCTCTTCCCCTTCTCTCCGGTTCTTTCCTTTCTATGTCCTATCCCTTTTCCTTCTCCCTCCCCGTCTTTTTCCTTCTTCCCTCCATCCCACACTCTCTACCCTCCTTGTCCCCCCTTCCCTATCCTCTCCCCTCTTTCTTCTTCTTCCTCTTCCTCCTCTCTTCCCTCCTATCCCCCTCCTTCCCACCTCCTTCCTTCTCTCTCCCCTCCCTATCCTCTCCCCTCCTCCTCCTTCTTCCTCTTCCTCCTCCCTTCCCTCCCTATCCTCTTCCCTCCCTATCCTTTCCCCTCCTCCTCCTCCTTCCTCTTCCTCCTCCCTTCCCTCCCTATCCTCTTCCCTCCGTATCCTCTCCCCTCCTTCCCACCTCCTTCTTCTTCTTCCTCCTCTCTCCCCTCCCTATCCAATCCTCTCCCCACCTCCTTCCTCTTCCTCTTCCTACTCCCTTCCCTCCCTATCCTCTCCCCTCCCTATCCTCTCCCTTCCCTATCCTCTCCCTTCCCTCCCACTTCCTTCTTCTTCTTCCTCCTTCTCTTCCCTCCCTATGCAATCCTCTCCCCTCCTTCTTCCTCCTCCTCCTCTCTCCCCTCCTTCCCACCTCCTCCCACCTCCCCCTCTCTTCCCTCCCTCTCCCCCCTACCCAGAACGCAGCTCTTCGCCGAGATGACGTCAGCGAAGGGCGACATCTCGAGCCTGACGACGGAGGAGCTGCTGAGGAAGGACAGGAAGGTCGTCGGCGGAAGGCAGGTCGTGGTGGGCATGTCGTCGCTGCCGCTCAGGGTGGAGGTGGGTGCTGGTGGGTGGGGTGGGGGGGTTGGGGGTGTATGTGTGTGTGTGTGTGTGTGTGTGTGTGTGTGTGTGTGTGTGTGTGTGTGTGTGTGTGTGTGTGTGTGTGTGTGTGTAGACAGACAGATAAATAGATAGATAGACAGACAGTCAGACAGGCAGGCAGGCAGGCAGGCAGGCAGGCAGGCAGGCAGGCAGGCAGGCAGACAAACAGACAGACTGACTGATAGACAGACAGACAGACAGATAGACAAACAGGCAGACAAACAGACAGACAGACAGATAGATAGATAACCAAACAGACAGACAGACTGACTGACTGACAGACGGACAGACAGACAGACAGACAGACAGACAGACTGACTAACTGACAGACTGGCAGACTGACTGACTGACTGACTGACTGACTGATAGACAGACAGACAGACAGACAGACAAACAGACAGACAGATAGATAGATAGATTGATAGACAGATGATAGGCAGACAGACAAACAGACAGAAGGGTAAATATAGTTAAGTTTCTAAAAGTATATTGACATAGAAATATATATTTACACAGATTTGTTGATGAAAAATTAGTCTAATTTGAATATTCGTAATATTTGCCTTTAATTATTTAATTAGATATGTATCATGCATAAAATTCTATGCATATACATATGCTTGTACGTATGCGTATATCCGTGTACGCATTGCTCCTGTTTATGAGTGTGTGTGCGCGCGCGCGCGCGTACGTACGTGCCTATGTGTGTATGTGTATGTGTGACTGTACTTTCTGTGTATGTGCGTGTGTGTGAGAGCGACAAAACGTGCATGTTGGCCGCCCACTGATGCACATGATGAACAGCTGTTATGTAGGTATTACTCGGGTGACAGCGCGGCCTAGTTTATGTTGTCAAGGGCGTTTCATGCTGGGTGTGAGGCGGAGGTTGTGTGATGGATAGCGGAGTGGATAGGGGGAAGTGGATAGCAGAAAGGATAGTGGGAAGTGGATAGCGGAGTGGATAGGGAGAAATGGATAGCGGAGCGGATAGGAGGAAGTAGATAGCGGAGTGGATAGGGGGAAGTGGATAGCGGAGTGGATAGTGGGAAGTGGATAGCGGAGTGGATAGGGGGAAGTGGATAGCGGAGTGGATAGTGGGAAGTGGATAGCGGAGTGGATAGGGGGAAGTGGATAGCGGAGTGGATAGGGGGAAGTGGATAGCGGAGTGGATAGGGGGAAGTGGATAGCGGAGTGAATCGGGGGAAGTGGATATCGGTGTGGATAGTGGGGAGCAGATAGCGGAGTGGATAGGGGGAAGTGGATAGCGGAGTGGATAGGGGGAAGTGGATAGCGGAGTGGATAGTGGGAAGTGGATAGCGGAGTGGATAGGGGGAAGTGGATAGCGGAGTGGATAGGGGGAAGTGGATAGCGGAGTGGATAGTGGGAAGTGGATAGCGGAGTGGATAGGGGGAAGTGGATAGCGGAGTGGATAGGGGGAAGTGGATAGCGGAGTGGATAGGGGGAAGTGGATAGCGGAGTGGATAGTGGGAAGTGGATAGCGGAGTGGATAGGGGGAAGTGGATAGCGGAGTGGATAGTGGGAAGTGGATAGCGGAGTGGATAGGGGGAAGTGGATAGCGGAGTGGATAGGGGGAAGTGGATAGCGGAGTGGATAGTGGGAAGTGGATAGCGGAGTGGATAGGGGGAAGTGGATAGCGGAGTGGATAGTGGGAAGTGGATAGCGGAGTGGATAGTGGGAAGTGAGTAGCGGAGTGGATAGGGGGAAGTGGATAGCGGAGTGGATAGTGGGAAGTGGATAGCGGAGTGGATAGGGGGAAGTGGATAGCGGTGTGGATAGTGGGGAGCAGATAGCGGAGTGGATAGGGAGAAGTGGATAGCGGAGCGGATAGGGGGAAGTAGATAGCGGAGTGGATAGTGGGAAGTGGTACCGAAGTGGATAGAGGGAAGTGGATAGCGGAGTAGGTGATGCATTTGAGGTCAGCCGGTGATGCGGTTCTAATGGTCTCTCTGGCGTAGGAGTTTTGGGGCCAATTCCTGTCTTTTGTTGTGTGTCTGTGGCAGGGAGGGAGGGAGGGAGGGAGGGAGGGAGGGAGGGAGAGAGGGTGTTGGTGGGGAGAAGGGTGGGTGGGTGGGTGGGAGGGAGGGAGGGAGGGAGGGAGGAAGGAAGGAAGGAAGGAAGGAAGGAAGGAAGGGTGGGAGAGAGGGAGTGTTGGTTGGTGGGGAGAAGAGTGGGTGGGAGGGAGGGAGGGAGGGAGGGAGGGAGGGTGGGAGAGAGGGTGTTGGTGGGGAGAAGGGTGGGTGGGAAAGGAGGGAGGGAGGGAGGGTGGGAGAGAGGGTGTTGGTGGGGAGAAGGGTGGGTGGGTGGGGAGAAGGGTGGGTGGGTGGGTGGGTGGGTGGGAGGGAGGGAGGGAGGGAGGGAGGAAGGAAGGAAGGAAGGAAGGAAGGAGGGAAGGGTGGGAGAGAGGGAGTGTTGGTTGGTGGGGAGAAGAGTGGGTGGGAGGGAGTGAGGGAGGGAGGGATGGAGGGAGGGATGGAGGGAGGGAAGGAGGAAGATGGGGAGGGAGGGTGGAAAGGGTAAAGAAGGATGGGTAAAAAAAAGATGGAGGGACAGAGGGAGAATTAGGAAGGAGAGCGAGGAAGGGATGGGATGGAGAGATGGAGGGATTGAGGGGCGGGCAGAGAAATGGAGGGAGGGACGGAGGGACCGAGGTTGAAGAGGGAGAGAGGGTGAGGGAGGAGGGTTTAGGAAGGAGGAAGGAAGGGAGGGAAGACGAAGGAGGGAGGGAGGGAAGAAGGAAATAGGTAGGGAAGGGGGAGGGAAGGAGGGAGGGAGGGAGCGAGGGAGCGAGGGAGTGAGGGAGGGAGGGAGAGAGCGAGGGAGGGAGGGAAGGCTAGGAGGCACGAAAAGAGGGCAGTCGGAGGAGCAGAATTGAAGGGATTTAGCATCAGATTACGACAAAAAGTACAGAGAAAAAGCGAAAGAAAATGATAGAAAGATGAAGACGAACCGAGACTCACAAACGACCGTCTTCCTTGGACTCATCGCCTGTGAATCACCGTCTTATCATTATTATCTTTCTTATCTTTGGCACAATATGTACGCGGTTTAGAAGCTCTCACGCACAGGCAGATGCACGCACACAGTCGTACGCAGCATAGACACACGCAGACACACACACACGTAGACACACGCACACGCACACGTACACGCACACGCACACGCGCACACACACACAAAAAAAAAGAAAAAAAAAGAAAAATATATATATGTATATATATATATACACATGTAAATAAAATCTCTCCTCTTTCTCTCCCAGGATTACCTCCAGCGGGCGGACGTGGGCGTGTCTCTGGAGCAGCACACGGGCGCCCACGTCATCGTCCTGATGGGGATCAGCTTGGCGGGGAACTCGGTCGAGAGGGACATCGCCGTCTACTCGAAGGACGAGGAACTGAGGCGGAGTGTGAGTTTCGGTGGGGTGGGGGGGTGGGGGGTGGAGGTGGATTGGGGGGAGGGAAAGGGTGGATGAGAGAGAGAGAGGAAAAAAGAGAGAGAGGGGGAAAAAGAGAGAGAGAGGGAAAAAGAGAGAGAGAGAAGAGAAGAAAGGGGAAAAAGAGAGAGAGAGGGAAAAGAGAGAGAGAGGAGAAAGAGAGAGAGAGGGAAGAGAGAGAGAGAGAGAGAGAGAGAGAGAGAGAGGGAGAGAGAGAGAGAGAGAGAGAGAGAGAGAGAGAGAGAGAGAGAGAGAGAGAGAGAGAGATTGAGAAAAGTAATTTACAGAGTTAGAGAGAGTGTGTGAGTGAGGGAGAGAGAAAGAGAATGGGGAAGAAAAGGAGAATGAGAATGAATATTAGAATTAGAATTAGAAAGGGCCAGACAGACAGAGAGACAGACAGACACAAACAAATGAAAAGAGACACTCAAACAGACAGTCAAGGTAGTCTGATCATAAAAAACAAAATCGAATTATTACATAAACTTTTACTAATATTTTCACATTAACCTTTTTTCTCTCCCTACCCCTCCCCCACCCCCCTTTTCTTTTTGGGTCACAGCTCACCCAATACCTCGAAGAAGCGCAAGGCGGCCTGCTGCAACTAGCAAGCATGGACACGAACGTTGCACATTGCAAGGCCTATCAACAGAAGAACTACGCTGCCTCCAGAAAAGTCGTGTTGCCGCTCGTCAAAGAATGGCTGGCTGCTAAGAACCTCTGAGGATTTTTTAATGAGATTCTGTTTTTTATTATTATTTATTTGTTGAATTGTTGTCATTATTGCTGTTGTGGTTGTTCTTGTTTTATTGTTATTATTATTGTTGTTATTATCGTTATTGTAATTGTTATTATTAATTAATATTATTATTGTTATGATGATGATAATGATGATAATGATGATAATGATAGTTTGTGGATAGTAACTAGTGGATGGTCTGTGGATAGCAATCATTGGGTAATTTGTGGATAGTAATCAGTGGATGGTCTGTGGATAGCAATCATTGGATAGTGTGCGGATAGTAAGCATTGGATAGTATGTGGATAGGCTAGCAAGACTAGAAATGTTGCTGTGTGGAATAAGAATACTTTTCTATTTCAACTTTTTCACTGTCTATTGATAATAGAATGTTTACTTTCTTATAGAACTATTATCTACGGGTTTATTTTTTTGCGTCCAGAGTAAAAAAAATGTATTTAATTTCATTATTATTTGCGTTTTATATTCCTCTAAGACTATTTACTTTGTGTAAAAATTTTCCTCATTGTTATTATTATTATTATTATCATTCTCATTATTATTATTATTATTATTATTATTTCTTTGGCCTTATTTTCTTTATCAACGATTATATTATTCACTGACTGTTGTATCATTGTGATTTTGTGACCTCTTGACAAAATTCAACTTTTTTCGAATATATTTGAGATTAAGTCGTTCATTTTTATTCATTTATTTTTATTCTAATATAAGTGCCTCAAAATATTTTTATCATCATATTAGTCAGTTATATCTATTTCCTATACTGCAAGCTCTCTTAGAAAATAAACTGGTAAAATATTGCAAACGTGTTTACTCTGTCCTCACTGCAACTTGCATATCGAAATTTAAAAGTAAAAGAAAAGCTATTTTCCTAAATTACATTCAACAATTCATTGAATATTAAATGAAATTCCCAACATATGGAACCACAATTAATATTACAACGAGTGAGGATTATACATTGTTGAGGATATGACTATATTTACGTAGCGTACCTGTTTTAACAACTGAAAAAAACAGTCTGTCTCTCTCTTGTCTGTTATTTGTTTACATTTATGGACTCGACTGGAAGTGCATGTAAGTATCATTTTAATTAATATTTCCGCTGAGGTGAAATGCACATGAAAATACCTACAGGAAGTCAGGGGAAAAAAATTGCTCTTAACAGATGTATATATACATTTGTACGCGACCAAAAATTACATATATATTTTTTCATTTCCTTTTCATCTTCGTTTTGCAAGATATACAGCGAAAAAAATATGTCAGGATATTCACAAAAGCCGATACTTTTCACTTGTCTATTCAAAGTCAGAGATGAATGCATTCGAACACATTTAGGAAGTCCTTTCAACTCAGCTGATTCGCAAACCGAACCGTATGATTCGAAACTCTTTTATATCTCATGAAAAAGTCATAAAAATACAAAATAGTCAGGTGACAAAAAATGCGCGAGTTCATTCACGCGCGAGAAAGGAAAGAGAGAGAGAGAAAAAAAAAAAGAGAGAGAGAGAGAGAGGTGGGGTAGGGGGTGGGGAGAGGAGAGGAGGAAGGAGAGAGAATATATGCATCCCATCCTCCGAACTATGTGATTCAAAAGTCATTTATATCTCGTGAAAAAGTAGTAAGGGCACTTTGGCATGAATGAACATACGCGACCACTTCCCTGAACTTAGCGTGGTCGATGGAGAGTGAAGCGTATTCGGGCAATGATCCAATACATTTACGTTTTTTTTTCGAAATTTGGTTACGACTGAAGCTTCACTAAAGAGAAATGTATTGAGGGAGGGAGAGAGAGGGAGAGTGAAAGGGAAAGGGTTGGGTCAAGGTAGAATGAGAGAGACAAAGGAGATAGTGAACTGGAGAGATTGAAAGAAAAAGATAGAAGATGTAGGTATATATATATATATATATATATATATATATATATATATATATATATATATATATATATATGTATGTATATATATATATATATATATATATATATATATATATATATATATATATATATATAAGAGAGAGAGAGAGGTAAGAGAGGCAGACAGACAAACAAAAACAGAGAGACGGAGAGAGATTGCAAGAGGGAAACAGTAAAAATGCAAAAGAAAAAGAGACCGATAAACGACCCAAAAGAAACCAAGAGAAAGAAGAAAAAACAAGCAAACAAACAAACAAAACAGAAGCAATAAAATACAACAAAGAAACATCTACACTAATTCAAAGCTAACTTCCCTTCCCTTCAACGTAACGGTAAACACCACAACACCACAAACTCTCAACTCACCTGTAATGCTAATTCAAGAACTCACAGGTTAAAAAAACAACAACAACAATACCATCTCATTATCATTTATTTATTCATTTTTGTTGTCGTATAGCATATGCAAATAAATAATATTGCAACGTCATTTACGGCAAAGGATGATATCGATTGTTCGTAAAATACACATAATGATTTATATTACGGTGTCGGGCTCATCCGGTCGCCAGAACAAATAGAGAGTTATGTCTAAAAATAGTTTCTGTTTCGGAGATGTATGTAACGAATAAGAATAAAAAGGGAGAATGAGATAATATGGTTAGGGGTTTTTAAATATAGTTAGGTTTTAATAACGTATGACTTAGCTGTTATTTGGTTTCGTGTAATATTTAAATTTGAAATTCTCTCATTTGCTACTTAAGCTAAGAAAAAAAAAATGCGTATTTTTACATTCAAATTTAGAAGGAATGATTTCTGTTGTTGTTGCTGTTTCTCCCGTTAATTATCGTTCAGTTCTAAATTAAGCCCCGATTCATTATGTTTCGGACACCCCGCAACCACTAATGTACCAAGTCATTATTAATTCATTGTTTCCGCCGCCATCTTTACGCCGCGTTGAGCTTGGAGAGGCGAGAAACAAGGGGTCATTATGGCCAGACTGGCGACGGGAAATTTCTCGTGTTTCCGTTGTTCTTTCTCCTAATAGCTTTGTGATTTATGTGTGCATGATCTAATATTAAAGAGGATTTAATCTAAGAACATGTATCTACGCGTTTTGTTAGAAGTTTCATGAGTTTTGGTGTTTTTTTTTTTCCAAGGGAAGGTATCCCCCTCGAGGTATCTCATTGGTAACACTGCGCGCGGCAGGAAATCCTCGTGTCATTTTCCGTGTTCGAGACTTCCCCTTCGCGGCGCCGAATCCTGCCACGCCCAAAGCCTACATCTGCCCCCTCCGTGCTGTCACGCCTAAGTGACTCCGGCATCAACGAGAGGTTCCATGAATGGGGAGCAAAAGTTTATGAATGGAGCGATGAGCGCGGGAGATATATTAGAGATCAGTTATGAGGCGGCGGTAGCACGCTCCGTGGTTTCGGACAACGCTTCAGTGGCTACGAGGAGTTGTCGCGAAAAAAAAAAAACAATCATAATAATCACAAGAAATCATAATAATTCAAAATCGTAATAACTCAAGAATCGTATCATCAATATAATCCACATTCTACAGAAAATCCTTAATATTCTACCCCCTCGCCCCCTCCATTTTTTTTTTTTTTCTTCAAGACAGCAACCGATAATTTCTTTACGGAATACACAGTCAGCTGATCCGTATCAAAGATTCCTTCAGGCTGTGAAAAGATCGTAAATAAAACTTTCGGAATCTTGTTTACGGTGATGATAGTGATTTTATAGTGATGGCGGCGGCGATGTCACTGTAAAACGTAGCTTATGATAATTTAAAAGAAACTATTTTGTTATCATAGATATTGATATAAATTTACGCATTGAGATAAAAAAAGATAGGGACAGGAGGTACTGATGGTCTCTGGATATCTATCTTTATCTTAAATCTATCAGCTCATTTTTGGAATTTTAGAAGAATTGTATGTGAATGCTGTCAGTTTGTAACGAAAGGTGAACAGGGAAAGATAACACATAATATGATATATTAATATGATATATTATGCAAAATAGGGTATATTATATATTTTCATTTTTTCTTTAACAGTTTCCTGTAATACAATCTTCACTGTTATCAGCTTTGTTATCTAGTCCCTCGTGACTGCATATGTTGCACCATCTTTGTCTTTCATCTCTTGATTACTGCCTATATAAGAAAATAGAAAATACAGGAGAAAGCAAGGGAAGGAAAGAATGTTAAGAAGAAAATGCTGAGAAGAAAAAAATAAGACAATCAGAATAAGAAAAGAGAATAAAGAAAAAAAGGAAATAAGAAACGTTAATCACATGAAAATACGAACACGCACACAAACGCGCGCGCGCGCGCGCGTACACGTACAATAAGTTTTGTGTAAACATGTTTTCTTCATAACTATTACTATCACTGCTGATAGCCACGCACATACATACACTTAAACACACAAATACACAAACACACAGTCATGTACACCCCCCCCCCACCCTACCACCCACGTACACACAACGTCTCACCCTGTCAAAGCGATGTTGCCGTCAACCCGTCAAGCCAGCAGGCCGTCAAGATGTCAAGATGTCAAAGCATCAACTTGCACACTTTCACTCTTTCTCTCTCTCTCTTCCTCCGTCTCTCTCTCTCTCTCTCTCTCTCTCTCTCTCTCTCTCTCTCTCTCTCTCTCTTTCTCTCGCTTTTTTCAGTGTTCTCCCTCGTGCACGTATGTCAGAGCATACGTGCCGGACATGCACGGTTATACGCGGGTACGTTCCGCGTGTGAGAGCAGTCTGTAGCGGTTGCATGACGCCTGTACATGTGCTGAAGTGTATACGTGTTGAGTGAGATGGAGAAGAGGGAGAGAGAGAGATGATGTAGGGAGAGAAGGCGAGGGAAAGAGGGAGATGATTAAAGGAGAGAAGGAGAGGGAGAGAGGGAGATGATCAAGGGAGAGAAGGAGAGGGAGAGAAGGAGATGGTGTAGGGAGTGGGAGGAATAAGGAGAGAGGGAGAGAGTGAAAGAGATAATGGAAAAGAAAGAGGGGGCGATGGAGGAGAAAGAGAGGTCAAGGTAGATAAGAGGAGTGAGAGAGGAATAAGGAGAGAGAGAGAGAGAGAGAGAGAGAGAGAGAGAGAGAGAGAGAGAGAGAAATAAGAAGAGAAGGGGAGAGGAATAAGGAGAGAGGGAAACAGAGAAATAGAGAGAGGGGGGAAAGGAAGAGGGAAGAGAGAAGATTGAGAGGAAAGCTGAGAGAGAGAAAGAGAAGAAAGAAAAAGAGGACGAAAGGCAGAGAGGTAATGCAGAAGGAAGAAAGAGGGAAGAGAGGGGTAGAAGGAGAAAGGATGAAAGGAAGAAGAGAGGAAGAGAGGCGAAGAAAAGAAAAGGTAAAAAGAGGAAGAAAGGACGGAAGGAGAGAGGAATGGAGATAGTAAAGGAGCGAAAAGAGAAAAGAAGAGAATTAAAGGGTTGAGGATAGAGGAAGAAGGGCAAATGAAGGGAAAGAAAAGAAGACAAGGAAATAGAAAGAAATAGATTAAC